ATCCGCTCACAGCAAACTCCAACTCCTGGGCTTAAGTGATCCTACTACCTTAGCCTCCCAAGCAGCTGGGACTACGGCACCTGCCACAACGCCCGGCCATTTTGGTTGTAGTTGTCATTATTGTTTGTTAGGCCTGGGCTGGATTTGAACCCATCAGCTCTGGTGTATGTGGCTGGCACCTTAGCTGCTGAGCTGTAAGCAACAAGCTCTTTTTGTTGCAATTGTTTAGTTGGCCTGGGCCAGGTTTGACCCCACCACCCTTGGTGTAGGTGGCCGGTGCTGTAACCACTGTGCTATGGGTGCTGGGCCAGATTTACTACCAAACTGTTAAAGAAAGTATTCTAAGGATGTGGAAGAAACATTTTTGTTTTTTAAGAGATAGGATCTTACTTTCTATCCCAGTGCAGGTCACAGCTCATTGTAGCCTTGAACTCCCAGGCTCAAAGGATCCTTGAAAAAAACCTTTTAATATGTTTAAAATGTATCAGGTAAGGCCAGCACCATAGCTCAAGCCTGTAATCCAAACACTATGGGAGGCCAAGGCAGGAGGATCACTTGTGCTCAGGAGTTTGAGACCAGCCTGAACAAGAGTGAGACCCCATCTCTACTAAAAATAGAAAAACTAGCCAGGTGTTGTGTCTGGCACCTGTAGTCCCAGCTATCCAAGAGGTTGAGGCAGGAGGATCTCTTACACCCAGGAGTTTGAGGTTGCTGTGAAATTGCTGTGAGCTATGATGACACCATGGCACTCCAGACCAGGTTACAGAGTGAGACACTGTCTCAAAAAAATACATAGGCTCGGCACTAGTAGCTCAGAGGCTAGGGTGCTAGCACATACACTGGAGCTGGTGGGTTCAAACCCAGCCCAGGCCTGCCAAACAACAATGACAACTACAACCAAAAAATAGCTGGGCGCTGTGGTAGGTGCCTGCAGTCCCAGCTACCTGGGAGGCTGAGGCAAGAGAATTGCTTAAGCCTAAGAGTTTGAGGTTGCTGTGAGCTGTGACACCACAGCACTCTACCGAGGGCGACATAGTGAGACTCTGTCTCAAAAATAAATAAATAAATAAATAAAATATATGAGACGACATACAGAAATAAAAACACAAATGACACTACCACTACCACAGGCACACACACACAAGGTAAAAGTTAATGTACCAGAAGTAAAACAGCAGTTGTGTTTCAATGTCAGGATGAAGGGGTGCCTTTTCCCTCAAATACTAGAAATCAAATTTCTGCACTAAGTTTTCAATGGAAATTTTAAAAAACTTTAGCACCACAGCTCCCATCACTCAGCACCCTGGGCGCCCATCCTGCACTACGTGGAGGCTAGGGTCCAGCTGCCTGGCCGGAAGATGTGTTCCCTTTCTGCAGCCACACAAAAACCATGTGTTTGCAGAGCTCGAGGAACAGCAGCTTCTCAGATTGGCCCAGGACCCTGAAAGAATCAGAGTACACCGTGGGACACCCTTCCCGGGAGGCAGAGGAGGATGCATGGCCTTCAAAAGTGTCTCAAGAGTACACAGGCCACTGTCCTGGCCAGACCTGACAGCTGAACAATAAACTACCTGCATCACTGTCAAAGAGAACTTCAAATTCTGAAATTCCCATGAGCCTGCTCTCGCATCATCTCAAAGCACTTGAGCTGTGATCATGAATTTGAGCCAGGCGCCCCTAGGATGGTTTGCAGCATCAGAAAAGGGAAGGGTCACCGTCCAAAGGACAAATGGCCAGAGAGGGGACATGGAAAAGAACACAGGCTTGCAGCTTTTGATCCACCATAGGTTTCTCGTCCTTGTTCTGGGTTTATCACTGAAGACAGAAACACAGAAATTGTTAAACGGAATAAGAAAGATCTGGTGAGGGGCGTGTAGGGAGGTTATCAGGCCCCCAAAGGCCTGTCCTGATGTGGCTGAGCACTCCACCCATAGGGGTCACAGAGACCAGCAATCCCAAGGCAGAAGGCAAGCAGGCTTTACAACCATGGCCTGGCAGGGCAGCCAAGCCCAGGAGAACGTGTGGAGACACCTGCACCAACTGTAGCTCCCAGGAGCACCAGGCCCTGCTGTAGGCCCTGTGCCTGTGCTCTTCCTGGACATTTTCAGCATGTACAGAACTTCTGATGGCAGGTGAGAAGTCTTCACATCAAACTCTGAGATCAGCATCCAGAAGGGAGGGCAAAGGCTCCTTTGGCTGCAGTGTGGGCTAGTCCTTCCTAAAATGCAGAATCCTGCATCAGACATGCTCACCTGGAGCAGGCCTCTTGGGCAGTGCTGGCGGCCAGGGCACCTCTGTCTTCAGAGTGCCCCCTCTGAGTGGACAGGTGGGGCAGGATATGGTCTGAAGGACACTCCCAGTACCTCTGAGCCAAAGACAGCACCCTGGTCCTCTTCCTGGTCTGTCGCCAGGGACTGCTGTGTTCCAGACCTGCAGAGCTAAAGGAAATGCCCAGTCACCAAGCTCTGAGCCTTAGGGTCAGTCCTCAGGACCTGTCTGTATGCCACTTGCAGTCCTGACTTCAGCTCCTAGGGTTTAGGTTTGCCACCTGCCCCAGCTGGCTCCTTAGGGGACATCATTGCTGACAAGGGCACATCACAAAGCACTACACATCCTTGTGTTATCCTTACTACCCCTGATAGCCCACCCTTCAGAGCGCACGCCCTTATTCCTGCTATGCCCTCTGCCTTTTCACCCTGGTCACTACAAGCCCCTCCTGTGGCCCTTTAGAGACCTGCTGCTGCTCAGCTGCACCATCCCAACCCACCCCCCTTCAGCCCAGGTGCCTGCCTGACCTGTCCTGGAACATTCTTCACCTCTTCTTCACAGATAGCACCCACTCAGCTCCCCAGAACAGCAGTGGTCTCAGTGCAGAGGCCTGGCTCCCATTCCAGACGCTGGCAGGTTGATCCTAAGCTGTCTGCCCTGTGGTGCTAGCAGCAGTCACCAGTCTTGCTCCAGGTCCTTGGTTCCCATCATCCTGTGTCATCTCGTTTGCCACTGCAGGCCCTTTGTGGAGAAACACAGCTTCCTGAGTCAGGGCTCAGGAATCTGTTGCACACACTGAAAAGTGAGTTTTCACCTAGCACAGACATGCAGGTCATCAAGGAAGTGAGCCTTCCACAGCCCAGAGGGCTGGACTCCTTCCTTGGCCTACAACCCATGTGTTGGCACAGACCACCAATCTCAGCACCAGAGCCAGGGCCTCCACATTCCCCATCTCCAGGCACATTTCTGAAAAGCACTTTTCTGCTCTCTTCTTGTTAAAACCAATGTTCACATCTACTTCGGACGGCCAATGGGGCCTCCCATCTTTCCGCACTGCCCACAGCAGTCACAGGTGCTTAAAACTGGACATGTACCCCTCTCCCCAACAACCACTGCCTACAACGGTCCTTCTGGGTGCCCCTGGACAGGTGGAGTTAGGCTTCAGGGTAAGAGCATTTCTGAGTAAAATGTGTGGGATATGGCTGGGGCCTGATTTACAATGGCCCCCAAACCCTGTACCTAGCAGCAGGGGCCTTGGAGCAGAGATAGAGAGAAGTGCATCCCAAGAACCCAGGCTTCAGGAAGCTGGTGGCTAAGGGGACCCCGTCCTTGATGGGCCTGTTCAGGAGGGAGCCCACAAGCCCACACAGCCTACAGGGTGCACCTTCCTCATGATTTTCAAGCTATAAAACATCACTTCATCTCATTTCCAGAATCTGTACTGATGAGTGGAGAAAGGGGTCTGCAAAGGCAGCCCCGAGGAGGTGCATGTGGTGAGCATCGCCAAGCAAAGCTGCCCTGGAAATGCAGGTGCTAGACAAATGACCTTATTCCTATCCTATTCCTGCATGTGGACAAGGGTCTAGGCAACTGACTCAGCTCAGACAAACGTGGAATCTCATCTCTGCTTGCTAAGCCTTGCTGGGAAGGCAGAGTAGAAAAAGCTCTGAACAGACACAGCCTTGAGCTAATATGCTCAGTCTGAGCCTAGGCAGGCCACCAGATTACAACAAAACCACCTCAGGCTTGGGGGCTCCTCTCAAGAGCTCAAAACACATCATTCCAAGACACCCATACCGTCCCCTCCCCCCAGGGCCAGAGACAGAATCAAAACACTCACGAAATTGTTCAACCCTTCTGTACACAAAAGACAGTGACACCGATGAAGGCCAGGGCTGGGAGGGCTCCACCGGCAATCCCCACCAACTGGGCAAGATCAGAGACAGAGCACCCATCAACAAAGCTGCCCAGGGGCCCCTCCCCCACCCAAACCATAGGATGGACAGTAATGAGCCAGGGGGCGGGGGCGGTAAGACTGCAAGGTCTTGCCCCAGGGAGGCATGTGAGGTGGTAACCATTGTGTGCTGTAAAGGCTCCTACGTGGACCGCAGCCCCAGGAGTGTAGCATGGTACCCAGGCAGAAGCCAGCCTGTAGGAGACAGCACAGTGGTCAGGATGGCAAGGATAGGGGTGGCCTAGTCAGAGTAGGAAGAGCAGAGGTGGGACTCAGGGAAGAAGCCAGCAGCCCTAGAGATTTCCACAAAGTGATCTCACCAGGGGGTGCTAAGGTCCTCTGAGCCCATCTGGGAAGCACGTGGAGAGCAGTCCGTCTTCCTTGGGCACTGCACCTCAACACCAAGTAGACCATGCATCACTGATGCACCTGAACCCTGGGCTTTCCAGCTCCTTGGGACACAAGCCCATGTGAGGAGGCTCTAGCCATGAGGATGCCCTAAGGCTATTTCTCAGTGCCTACTGGACACCAACAGGGCCACATGCCACTGGCCTCACATGGCAGCAGTGCTCAGAAACCAAAGAGCCACCTGGACTTGGAGAACATCTGATACTAATACACATATAAAATAATTAAAGAATAACAGAGGCTGTGTGTGTGCCTGCCATCCTGCCGTCTCCTAAGGAGGTATCAACAGGACTTCAGAAGTCCAGATCTGTGGGTGGGAGGAGAAGGGTAAGGGCAATGTGGTGACAGCAGAGGATGCCACTGACTCCCTGAGAAGCAGAAGACCCAGCCAGATCGGATCAGCAGCCATACTCTACCCTTTTCCTCTCCAGCAGTCTGTTAACCCTTTTCAGTTTCTGAACAAGTACCAACAATGAAAGCAGCTCCTTGGCCTTCAGAAAGCCAGGGCTCAGACAAGGCAACCCATCCAGAAAACCCAAGGAAATCTGAAGGGCACTCACAAAAGCATCTGAAAAGCATGATTCTGCATCAAGACAGAAAAACTAAGTGGCCCAGAAAAGGGAACCCTTTGAACTTGGTACAAGAGACAAATTAAAACTATGGAGGGGCTCGGCGCCTATAGCTCAACCGGCTAAGGCGCCAGCCACGTACACCTAAGGTGGCGGGTTCGAATCCCCAGCCCGGACCC